CCCCTCCTTCCTCCTCACCCCACCCCGCCCGTGCTGGACGGTTTGGATGAAAAATCACGAGGTACACAAACCTTGTCAAGGCAGTGTGGCAACACGGCTGCTCCGCTCAAACTCCTCCCCCTCCCCCACTCCAAAGCCCTCTCTGGCTCCCCCGGTCGCATTGTCATTATTTGGTCTTTATTTTGTCCTTGAAAATGTCGTTTTTAAAGACAAGGGAAACTCTAAATAAAGACGAAATAATTACGAACTAGTTCGTCTTTCGCTTGTGATTTCGTTGTCGTTCCTTTCGTCTTTCCTTTGTAATTCTTTCGACTTTACGTTCTCATTAATTTGTCATTGTTGGAAAGACGAGGTAAAGACAGCATAAAGCTATACCCAGCCATACGGGTCGGGATCGCCCCATGAAGCTTTTCCATTGTTGACACTATCATAGACGAAATTTTTAAAAAATACAACATGGTTTAATCTTTGTCTAATGCCTTTTATTTGTATCATCACTTAAGCCATATTGTGTTGTATCCTCTCTTTCGGCAATTTTTCCACCCCGAAATCTTTTATGTCAACGAAATGTGAGTTGTTCTTACATTTCGTAATGTTGACATCACTTCGCGCAAACTAATCGTTTGCCAAATGTTAAATGTCATATAAAACAAAATTTTTGAAAATCTGAACCGTGTATGTCCCATGCGGAGCAAACAAAACGAATTGGCAATAATATATGCGAATTTAAACGTCGATTTTACATAAAATCAACTTTTTTATGATTGTCAAAATGTGAAGTATCATAGCTGCGTCCAGACAAGAGGGTCGCTTGGGTTGCTTGGGTCGCTTGGGTCTCTGAGCCGGCGCAGAAGCCACGTTTTGGTTCTCTGCGCAGACCTCAGAGACCCCACAGCGACCCAAACAACCCAAGCGACCCAAGCGACCCTCTTGTCTGGACGCAGCTCACTTCATAATGTTTATCAAACTGATTTAGTGGAAGGCGTGTTCCAATGATAAAAAAAAAGTTTTCAGGAACAGAGTCAGACCAGACGGACCATAACATTACACCCAGACGCAAGAAATTGACTGACTTTCATTACATGTTTTCATCATTGACAAGCACCGCGCGGCAAGAACATTAGAACTCTATTGTTCTTGCCGCGCGGTGCGCAACTTAGAAAATAACAACGATTCCACATTCACATTCAGATGCCGCACTACAGCCTTCTAAGTGCTTGAACTTCGGCTAGTTATTATAGAGATCCTCCAATGCTGACGTCACAAGGCCCACTGAGTGGCGAACCGCGCGAGATTCCAAATGCGGGCCCGGGGAAAATGTTGAAAAGGTCGAAATAAAATGTTAGATCGTAGGGCCCAGTTAAAGAGAGATATGGCGACAACATTTTCTGAATCATTAAATTGGATCCATATGCTTTTTTAACTGGTTTCAGCAAAGAATGGTCTAACCTAACCTCTGACACCGTGTGTCATTGTTCGGTACTCAGTGTCAACTTTTTATATTTTTGGGGAGTGTCATGCTCAAAAATCGTTGGGAGCTGTGAGTTTTGTCGTCAGTGATAAAGTGAGCAGTCTTTGGGTCCATAAAGTAGGCGAAATGTGCCTAATTAGGCCCAACTTTTCATAATTTGCCACTCTTCGCCACTCGTTCGCAAAGGAGTTGCTCCTGACCGAGGAAGGCGGTGCTAGGGTCACGTGACCATTGGAGGATCTCTATAGTCGTCCTCCCTAAAGAATGGTGCAGTGCAGAAGGCGGATCCCGTGGCTCTTTTTCCCCCACCAAGCAGTTTCACCAATCAGAATAGAGCAAACTGCTTGGTGGGGGAAAAGAGCCACCGGATCCGCCTTCAGCATTGCACTATTCTTTCGGGAGGACGACTAAAGAATGGTGGACCTCAAAGAGCCTAATAAAGGTCCAACGGCTCCGCTTCGGCTTCGGCACCTGTAGATGGTGGAGGGGGTAGGGTCCCGAGTCGCGCCCGCGAACCGCGAGTCTCTTGTCGCGGGTGTCCTAAGTGATCGCGGTTCCTTTCACGGGTGTCCTGAAGTGATCGCGTATCCTTTCGCGGGGATTCGCGGTGTCCTTTCGCGGATATCCTCCGTGTCGCGGGTCGTCCCGCGAGGACTCGCGAGATATCGCGAGATCTCGCGGGTGCCGAAGTCGTGCCGAAGCAAGTGGTGGGGGTAACAGGTGGAGAGCCGTGGGTTGTATCCAGTTGCCTGCATCCTACATCCTACATCCATGTTGCCAGATGTTGCAGTTGTCGTTTGTTTTGGTCAGAAATCGCCCAGTTCGGTGAGCGGGGAGAGGTTATGTGACAACAACACTCCCGTAAACGCCCCGCGACGGCCCCGCGAGGTCGCGAGAGCCGCGAAAACCGCGTGAGGACCTGCACCGCGGCCTGTCCTGTCGCGAGGACCTCGCGAGTCACCCCCGCGAGGATCTCCCGTCAGCGCTCGCGAGTCACCCCTCGCGTCCTACCCCCGCGACTTCGCGGGTTACTCCTTCGCGAGTCACCCTCGCGAACTCGCAATCTACCCCTGTAGAATAATTTTCGCGACCTCGCGCGGCCGTCGCGGGGCATTTACGGGCGTGTCGTTGTCACATAACCTCTCCCCGCTCACCGAACTGGGCGATTTCTGACCAAAACAAACGACAACTGCAACATCTGGCAACATAGATGTAGGATGTTGGATGCATGTTACTGGATAGGCCCGTGGACAAGAGTCAGGAGAGGTCCACAGTGTTGCCCATACGTACCGCCTTGGCGGTATTTGTACCGCTTTTTCGGGTTCCGTACCGCCATACCGCCTTTGAGGTCCAGCGTACCGCCTTTTCCCCAGCTGGCCCCAAACGTCGGTTTTCCCTGATTTCCCCCCTGTTTGTCCCGGCTCGGCGCGCTGGGCGTTCCCAAACGGTCACTAATCCACTCCAGATCCACCTGGTGACAACCCCATATGGGGTATCATTGGTATATACCAAGCTCCATGCCCACAGTGCGTACTAGTTGCTCTTACAATGACGAATTCAAGGGCATTTTTTAAAAATTTTATCATTTGCAGTTCAGTGCGCCCATACAGTAGGCAACATCTCTACACCTTAAGGGTAATTTTGTTCTAATTTTGAAATTCGCGCGCACCCCCCACCTCCGTACCGCCTTGTACCGCCTTTTTGAGCGCTGCGTACCGCCTCCGAGCGGCCAATCCCTGGCAACACTGGAGGTCCACCATTCTTTCGGGGGGACGACTAGAGAGCGAGTGAGAGCGATATCCGTTGGTGTCAGACGACGCCAGTTGTTCGGTGGCGGACACACTTATGAAGTGAATTTGATATTATTTAATCCTTTATGTCCGCCGCAACACGTGTTGCCAGTTTCTTTAAGATCTGGGACATGTTAGGAAGTGTACTCAAGTACGCGACGTTTGCCGTCTGAATAGCAAAGCTGTTTTTGCGGTTCGCTCCTTTATGTCCTTTGTCTGACAGGCGAATTTCGATAAGGACGTTTTCACACTTTTAACGAGGTGAGTCACATAATTTTATGTATTACTGACTGCTTTGAAATTTCTCTCAGACCTCGGTACAATTCGCGTGTTATGTTGTAACTGGGATCGTTTGCTTCAGTTAGTAATGCTAAGCTGTATAGGTTAGGAAGACTCATGTTTACAGAAGTCTGTCACATTTCACTTTGTGGTTGTAATTTAACTGTTTGTTCCAGCGCACTTCCAAGTCATATTTCGGTGCAATGCCTCACAGGCTCACGAGACGAGGGGAACATCGGACACAACTCACAACTTCAATCTCGAAAAGCAAGGACTGTTACCCTACGAAAATGGTGAGATTTCTTTATTTGTCTATTGTGCCAGTATGCAAGTGAATCCTAAACAGAATAGGAACTGTGTGTTGATGTTAACAAAGTAATTATTTGTGCAGGATAAAGTGTTTGTCTCTCGGCTATTGGCGGCGTTGGAGCAGAACAAGAGGAGAATAAAAGAGTTGAAAGAGGAAGGTGAATGCAAGGATCGTACTCTCAACAGCATTGCTTTGGACATGATCGGTCTTACTTTCTGGAATCCACCAGAAAGTCAGCACACAAGAAGAGGTTGAATACGTTATCTTGAAGATGCCATCAATTATGTTCTCATTGTCAATTTTATTTAGGGAGTTCTGTTAAAGTTGGAAAGGTTTGTACCCACTCCTGTTTATTCAAAATATGCGAGGGAGATGGCTCTAGCCTTGTACTAAACTTTCTGACGTTTGACTCTACCTTTTCCATTTCTATTCTGGCTCTGGCTATAAATATTTGTTTTTAAAAATGTAATGTTTCCAACTTTACTTGTGTATTCAAAAATATGCAAGTCTGCCGGCTTTAGCCTTTATTTATTATCAGTTAATTTTGTGGTTTTGCACTTACTCAATTTGTGTATTCTAAATATCCAAGTGAGCTCACTTAAGCTTTAATTTGTTATTTATTAGTGTTACGAGTTTTTGTGCCTACTCCATTTGTTTATCTAAAATATCCAAGTGAACTGGCTCTAGCCTTGTTCTGAACTTCTATAAGTTTGGCTCTGCTTTCTCTATGTGTTTCCTGACTAAATGTTAGGAGGTTGTTTAACTATTCAATTTGTGTATTCAAAATATCAAAGTGAGTTTGCTGTAGCTTTTATTTGTTATCTATTAATGCTACTAGCTATTTTACCCACTCAATTTGTGTATTCAAAATATCAAAGAGCTTGCTGTAGCTTTTATTTGTTATGTATTAATGCTACT